TAATGTGATTACTAGAAACTGTATTTACCCCCTTCAGGTTTATCTAACTTGGATATCCAGTCAAATTACTAAATTACTCTGGTTTTTGTTGTTGTTTTTCTGTTTATTTATGTATTTTTGAGACAGAGTCTTACTCTGTCACCCAGGCTGGAGTCTAGTGGCACAATCTTTGCCAACTGCAACCTCTGCTTCCTGGGTTCAAGCAATATTCATGCTTCCGCCTCTCAAATAGCTGGGATTACAAGCATGCACCACCATTCCCATCTAATTTTTCTATTTTTAGCAGAGAAGGGGTTTCGCCACATTGCCCAGGCTGGTCTCGAGCTCCTAGCCTCAGGTGATCTGCCCACCTGAGCCTCCCAAAGTGCTTCGATTACGGGTGTGAACTACTGCGCCTAGCAAATTACTCTGTTTTAAAGTTATTTGAAATAGTTCCTCTGTGTGGTTTTGCCACCAACTTGATCAGTTCCGTTCCATTTGTTTTATTTTGACTTTCCATTTTAGAGGCTTTTTTTTGGTTTTGTTTTTTTCTTTGTTTTTTGAGACGGGGTGCTGCTTTGTTGTCCAGGCTAGAGTGCAGAGTGGCATGATCATGGCTCACTGCAGCCTTGACTTCCTGGGCTCAGGTGATTCTCCTGCCTCAGCCTCCCAAGAGGCTGGGACTACCAGCGTGTACCAGCATGCCTAGCTAATTTTTTGTAGAGATGGGTTTTTGCCATGTTGCCTAGGCTGGTCTCAAACTCGTGAGCATAAGCAATCTGCCTGCCTTGGCCTCCCAAAGCACTGGGATTACAGGTGTGAGCCACCACCCCCAGCCCAATTCTTTTATTTTATTTTATTTTAAAGAGATGAGATTTCACTATGTTGCCCAGGCTTGTCTCAAACTTCTGACCTCAAGCAGTCCTTCTTCCTCAGCCTCTTGAGTAGCTGGGATTATAGGTGTGAGCCACTGTACCCAGCTATATTAATCTTTTATTTATAGTGTCAGTTCCAAATATTTTTTCTTAGTTTGTTGTTTGTCTTCTTTGTTTTAAATTTTTTTTTCATTTTACACGATAGCTCTCAGATCTTATACCTTTTTTTTTTTTTTTGAGACAGAGTCTTGCTCTGTCGCCAGGCTGGAGTGCGGTGGCGCAATCTCCACTCACCACAGTCTCCGCCCCCCAGGTTCAAACGATTCTCCTGCCTATGCCTCCCGAGTAGCCGGGACTACAGGCATGCACCACCATGCCCAGCTAATTTTTGTATTTTTAGTAGAGACGAGGTTTCACAGTGTTGGCCAGGATGGTCTCAATCTCTTGACCTTGTGATCTGCCCGCCTCAGCTTCCCAAAGTGCTGAGATTACAGGCATGAGCCACTGCGCCTGGCCTCTTATACATTTTTTATTGTATAAGATATATCAGTTTTTTTCTTATTCCTTCGGATTTGAGTTATAGGAAAGTTGTCTTCTCTTCCAGGTTATTTTCAGGTTTGTTTTTTTTTTTTGAGATGGAGTCTCGCTCTGTTGTCCAGGCTGGAGTGCAATGGCGTGATCTTGGCTCACTGCAGCCTTAGCCTCCCAGGTTCAAGCGATTCTCCTGCGTCAACCTCCTGAGTAGCTGGGATTGCAGGCTCATCCCACCACACCTGGCTACTTTTTGTATTTTTAGTAGAGATGGGGTTTTACCATGTTGGTCAGGCTGGTTTCGAACTCCTGACCTCGTTATCTGCCCACCTCAGGCTCCCAAAGTGCTGGAATTACAGGCATGAGCCACCACGCCTGACCTCTTCCAGGTTATTTAAAAAAAATTTTACTATGTTTTCTTAACTTAAATAGTTAAGAGTTAGCTCTTCGTTTTTTTTCAATTTAGCTAGACACAGTGGCGTGTGCCTATAGTCCAGCTACTCTGGAGGCTGAGGTGAGAGGGCCACTTGAAACCAAGAGTTTGAAACCAGCCTAGGTAACATAGTGAGACTGGGTTTCCAACAACACTTTAAACAAAAAATTAGCGGCGTGCACCCATTGTTCCAGCTACTCAGGAGGCTGAGGCAGGAGGATCACTTGAGCCCAGGAGTTTGAGCTGTAGTGCATTATGATCGTGCCTGTGAATAGCCACTGCATTTCAACTTGGGCAACATAGCTAGTCTCTGTCTCAAAATAAAATAAAATAAACATTTTTTATTGTGAGAAAACATAGATAACATAAGATTTGCCATTTTAATCATTTTTAAGAGTACAATTCTGTGACATTAATTACATTCACAGTGTTGTACAACCATCACTACTGTTCATTTCCAAGACATTTTCATCACCCCAAACAGAAACTCTATACCCATTAACTGCTCATTCCTCACTCATCTCAATCCCTAGTAACCTCTATTCTACTTTCTGTCTTTATCAGTCACCTATTCTAGATATTTTATATGTATGGAATCATAAAGTATTTGTCCTTTTGTGTTTGACTTTTTTATTCATGTAGCACCACGTTTTCAACGTTCATCCATGTTATAGTATGTATCAGAATTTCACTCCTTTTGAAGCTGAATAATACTCCATTGCTTATATACACCACATTTTGTTTATTCATTCATCTGTTAATGGATACTTGAGTTGTTTCCACCTTTTGGCTATTGTGAATATCACTGTAGCCACCAAACTCTTTTCCTCAGCAGCGATATTTCACATTCCCACCAGCAGTGTACCAGGGTTCCAATTTCTTTACAACCTTGCCAACACTTGTTTTCTGCTTTTTGTTTCTTTTTAGTAGCCATCCTAATGAGTGTGAAGTAGTATCTCATTATGGTTTTGATATGTATTTTCTAGGAACTATTGATTTTGAGCATCTTTTCATGTGCTTATTAGCCATTTTTATTTCTTCTTTGGAAAAATGTCTATTCCCACAAGTCCTTTACCCATCTGTGCATTTTTTTGTTTGTTTGTTTTTATTTTGTTGTGCATTTTTTATAAGAGACAGATTCTTGCTCTGTTGTCCAGGTTGGAGCATGGTGACATGATCATGGCTCACTGCAGCCTCAAATTCCCTGACTCAAGTGATCTCCTGCCTCTCAGCCTCCCGAGTAGCTAGGAATACAGGAGTATGCCACTGTGCCCAGCTTTTCTATCATTTTAACATTGCCCTTTTCTTAATTTCATCATTCCCTTGGATGCTGTAACCCTTCTTTGACTATTTTCTAGGTTCTGATAAAGTTGGTTCTAAGAGTTTCTAATTGTTTTTTGATTTTTTGGGGGTGGGTAGGGGAACAGGTGCCTGGACCTATCTGTTTTTCCATTTTGCTGATATCACCCTCGATTTTAATTTTCCTTTTTCTTTTTCTCCCATTCTCTTTCAACAGAAGTTTAAACATTTTAAATCTTGTATATGTAATCTCATCTCATTTAATGAAGGAGGTACATTCTGAAAAGAGCTTCATTAGGCAATTTTGTCATTGTGTGAATATCATGAAATGTATTTACACAAACCTGATAGTATAGCCAACTATACACACAGGCTGTATGATGTAGCCTATTACTCTTAGGCTACAAACCTGTACAGCATGTTATTATACTGAATACTGTAGGCAATTATGATATAATTATAACTATTTGCATATCTAAACATATCTCAGCATAGAAAAAGTACAGTAAAAATATACTGTTATAATCTTATGGGACCATCTTTGTATATCCAGTCCATTGTTGACCAACATGTTGTTACACAGCATATTACTGCATTTGGAATGTATTTTGGTTATGGTAATATCACCTTACTATTGAATTTATTAAAGGGTTCATTTCAGGCTGGAGTGCTGTGGCACAGTCTTGGCTCACTGCAACTTCTGCCTCCCAGGTTCAAGTAATTCTCATGCCTCAGTGTCACCAGTAGCTGGAATTACAGGTGTGCATTACCATGCCAAGCTAATTTTTGTATTTTTGGTAGAGATGGGGTTTCGTCATGTTGGCCAGGCTGGTGTCGAACTCCTTACCTGAAGTGATCTGACTGCCTTGGCCTTCCAAAGTGCTGGGAGTATAGGCATTACCGCCATAACTGGCCTCATTGTTTTTATTAAAAATAATAATAATAGTATAGACTCACATACTTTTGTTTTATTCAATGGCGCATAATCCACTAGTGTTATTATTTTTTTAGATGTTAATTTCCCAAATTTAGCCAATGAGAGCCCCTTCAGAGTGGCTTTGGGGTCACTTTTTCTTTTCTTTTTAATTTAATTTATTATTATTATTATTATTTTTCAGACAGAGTCTTACTCACTCTGTTGCCCAAGCTGTAGTACAGTAGTGCAATCTTGGCTCACTGCAAGCTCCTCCTCCTGGGTTAAAGTGATTCTCCTGCCTCAGCTTCCCAAGTAGCTGGGATTACAGGCGCATACTACCACATCAAGCTAATTTTTTAAATTTTTAGTACAGATGGTGTTTTGCCACCACATCCCTAGCCTTTGGGGTCCTTTGATATATACTTTTTTTTTTTTGAGCCTGTCTCCCAGGCTGGAGTGCAATGGCGTGATCTTGGCTCACTGCAACCTCCGCCTCCTGGGTTCAAGCGATTCTCCTGCCTCAGCCTCCCAAGTAGCTGGGATTACAGGCGCCTACAACCACATCCAGCTAATTTTCTGTATTCTTAGTAGAGACAGGGTTTTATGATGTTAGCCAGGCTGGTCTCAAACTTCTGACCTCAGGTGATCCGCCTGCCTCTAGACCTCCCAAAGTGCTGGGATTAAAGGTGGTAGCTGGGTGTGAGCTACCCAGCTTCATCATAAGTTTTAAGAAATCTTTCTTTTCTCAGATTATCAGACTTGAAAATGTATTTTCTAACATTTCTTTATTTTGTAGATGAAAATGACAGCTTTGAGCTTGCTCACTTTTTCTTTAGACCCTTCTAAGTGCTACTTTAGGACTACATGGTAACTTAAATGTTAGAAAATATTGATATGTACATAGGAATAAATTTGTTTAAAACACTAAAATGAGAACTTTAGCTTTTATTTCTTTTTACTTTTACAGTAAGGCAAAAGAGAATGAAAGACGTAGATAACCTCAAAAGTATAAAAGAAGAATGGTAAGTTAATTCAAACTGTGAATTGCTTTGTTAATGCCTTTGTTAATATCGTTCTCTATTTTTATTATAGTTCATTGGCAGAGATAGTAAAGTGTATTTTAATTGTGTATGACTACTTCAGTAAATATGTGCTATTTTGAAGTAATTTTTTTTACCATGGCTGCATTGAACAGATTTTAGTGAAGTTACTTGAATGTTTTTTGTTATTAATTTTAAAAAGTTAAATTATGAATGTTCATGCATTGCCTCTGTTATTTAAGAAATTAAATAACTATTTACCTCATTAGCCTCTTGTGAGAATACTATTTTGGTGTCATAGTGAAAATATGGTTTTGGAGTCAGATAAACCTAGGCTTGAATTCCATCTCTGCCTTGTATTACTCTCTGGCCTTTGGGCAACTTAGGTAAATTCTTTGAGCCTCAATATCTCATCTATAAGATGAGGCTATAAATAACTACCTATTTGAAAGGTTTTATATGCATATCTTTTTTCTTTTCTCTTTCTTTCTTTTTTTTTTTTTTTTTTAAAAGACCAGGGTATCTGTTGCCCAGGTGCAATCATAGCTCATTGGAGCTTTGAATTCCTGGGCTCAAGCAGTCATCCCACCTTGGCCTCCTGAGTAGCTGGGATTACCGTTTTACACCACTGTACCCAGTTAATTTTTAATTTTTTTTTTTTTTTTTTTTTTTTTTTTGAGATGGAGTTTCGCTCTTGTTACCCAGGCTGGAGTGCAATGGCGTGATCTCGGCTCACCGCAACCTCCGCCTCCTGGGTTCAGGTAATTCTCCTGCCTCAGCCTCCTGAGTAGCTGGGATTACAGGCACGCGCCACCATGTCCAGCTAGTTTTTTGTATTTTTAGTAGAGACAGGGTTTCATGATTTTGACCAGGATGGTCTCGATCTCTTGACCTCGTGATCCACCCACCTCAGCTTCCCAAAGTGTTGGAATTACAGGCGTGAGCCACCAGGCCCAGCCAGTTTTCAAATTTTTTGTAGCAGTGAAATTTCACTATATTGCCCGGAACTCCTGGTTTTAAGTGAGCCTCCTGCCATTGCCTCTCAAAATGCTGCAATTATAGGCATGAGCCACCATACTTGGCCTATTTGTTATTTTTTTTCACTCAGGTATTTATAGGCTTATATAAGTATCTGATGCTAATTATATAATTGTGACATTGTTGGCTGGGCGAAGTGGCCCCTGCCTTTAATCCCAGCACTTTGGGAGGCGAGGCAGGCGGATCACCTGAGGTCAGGAGTTCGAGACCAGCCTGGCCAACATGGTGAAATACCGTCTCTATTAAAAATATAAAAATTAGCTGGGTGTGGTGGTGAGCGCCAGTAATCCTAGCTATTTGGGAGGCTGAGAAGGAGAATTGTTTGAACCCTGGAGGCAGAGGTTGCAGTGAGCCAAGATTGCACCACTGCACTCCAGTCTGGGTAACAGAGCAAGACTCTGTCTCAAAAAAGTTTTTTAAAAACTAGCTAGTGTGGTAACACATGCCTGTAAACACAGCTACTGAAGAGGCTGAGACAGGAGGATTGCTTGACCCTAGGAGTTAGAGGCTTCAGTGAGCCATTATCATGTAATATATTGCACTTCTCCATTCTGGGTCACAGAGTTCTCAAAAAAAAAAATCTAGAAAAGAGATGAATGGGTAAAGAATATAATACATACCCACAATGGAATATTATTCAGTCTTGAAAAAGAAGGAAATTCTGCAGTATGCAACAACATGGATGAATCTTGAAGATATAATGGTGATTGCCAGGGGCTGGGGGAAAGTGAAAATGGGGAGCTGCTTATCAGTGGGCATAAAGTTTAAGTTAAGCAAGATGAATAGGTCCTAGAGATATGCTGAACAACGTAGTACCTATATTGAACAATAAAGTACACTTTATTGTTCACTGAAAAATTTATTAAGAGGTTAGGTCTCATTTTAAGTGTTCTTACTGCAATAAAATTTTTAAAATATTTTAGAAATCCCTCACCTGAAGCTTCTGTACTTTTATTATTTTAGGAACTCCTGATATGTTAGGAATGTTTACTGGCTGGGCATGGTGGCTCATGCCTGTAATCCTGGCACTTTGGGAGGCCAAGGCAGGCAGATTTCTTGAGCCCAGGAGTTCAAGACCAGTCTGGAACACATGGTGAACCCCTAGCTCTACAAAAAATACAAAAATTAGCTGTTGGAGAGGCTGGAACTATAGGTATGCGCCACCATCCCTGGCTAATTTTTCTTACTTTTTAAAGAGGTGGGGTCTCCCTATGTTGTCCAAGCTAGTCTCAAGCTCCTGGGATCAAGGGATCCTCCTACCTCAGCCTCCTAAAGTGCTGGGATTATAGGTGTGAGCCACTGCATCTGGCCTCCTTTCCATTCTGTATGTATTTTATTTCCTGTCCTTATCTTACTGGATTAGCTAGGACTTCCAGTACAATTCTGATGAGGAATGGTGAGACATGACATCCTTGTCTTGTTTCTTATCTTGGTGAGAAAGCATCTAGTTTCTCATGATTAGATATGATGTTAGCTGTAGGCTTTTGCAGACATTCTATGCCAAGTTGAGGAAGTTTCCTTTCTATTCCTAGTTTGTGGGGGTTTTATTATGAATGGTTATTGGATATTATCAAATGCTTTTTCTGCATATGTCGATATGATTATATTATTTTTATTCTTTAGGTTGTGATGTGATGCCTTACATGAATGGATTTTCAGTGTTAAACCACTGCAGCCTTGCATACCTAGGATAAATCCTACATGGTTGTGGCGTTTAATTTTTTTTAACATGTTGTATTCTATTTGCTAATATTTTGTTGAGTATTTCTACATATGTGGTCATGATAAGTTTTCTGTAGTTTTCCTTTCTTGTAATGTCTTTGGTTTGAGTATAGCATAGTGTTTTCCTCATAGAATGAGTTAAAAGTATTCCCTCTGCTTCTATTTTCTGGAAGAGATTGTAGCAAATTAGTATCATTTGTTTCTTAAATGTTTGGTAGAATTCATCAGTGACATCATTCAGGCCTGGTGCTTCTGTTTTGGAAGGTTATTTATTATTGATTTAATTTCCTTAGTATAGGTAGGCCTATTTATATTGTCTGTTCCTTCTTGTGTGTGTTTTGATAGAGTGTGCCTTATAAGAAATTGGTTCATTTTATGTAAGTTAATCAATTTTAGAGGCATAAAGCAGTTCTTAATGCCTTTGCTACTCTTTTTTCCTGTGCCTATACACTCATCAAAAGTGAAACAAACCCATTCCCACCTGTTCAATGGAGCCAGAGCACCCCAGTTTTCTGAACTGTATCTTATATCTCTTATTGTAGTTGTTTTTTTTTTTTTTTTTTTTTTTTTTTTGAGACATGGTCTCGCCTGTTGCCCAGCCTGGAGTACATTGGCGTGATCTCAGTTCACTGTGACCTTGGCCTTCTGGATTCATGTGATCCTCCCACTTCAACCTCCCAAGTAGCTGGGGCTATAAGCGTGCACCACCACACCCAGCTAATTTTTTTTTTTGTAGAGACAGGATTTCACCATGTTGCCCAGGATGGTCTCCAATTCCTGGGCTCGAGCAATTCTCCCCACCTTGGTCTCCCAAATTTCTGGGATTACAGGCTTGAGCCATTGCAACTGGCTGTAGCTATTTTCTATTGTAACTATCTCTTACTATACATCTCCACTCTGCTCTCCTCTTACTATACATCTCCACTCTACTCCACTACACTCTGAACCTCTTAAAAACAGTTTCTCTTTTTTCCATTCTTTGTCCCTCTAGAGAACATAAACTGTTTCTTACTCATCTTCCTATCTCCCTGTCACCTAGCATGTAGTAGATACTCAATAAGTGTTTGAGTAATTTGAATTTGCATGATGAAGTTTAATAGAATTTACACATCAAATAAATAACATAAAGGAATAAAACTTCAGCTACTCTTGATGCTCAGCTTTATTGGTTGTGTATTTTGTAATTACTAATGCAGCACCAACTACCATCTGAACAGAAGAAACAGTTAAATACCAGAAAACATAAAATGGTTATAATGATATTACTATCTAATATGTGAGAGTGTACTGTGTGCCAGTATGTATACTGATACTTACTATATACCACCTATAGGCTTTTATATATTTTTTCAGTTAATCTTCATAACAACCATGTGAAATAAGTGGTGGTATCTGTATTTCACAAATAAGCAAACCAAATCACATAGAAGTTAAGTTTCTTACCCATTGTCAGCGTGACTAAATGAAGGCACCTAAATACAAACAGTGAAGCCTGGACTTTTAGACAATATACTATACTGCTATTTGACTATGCTGATTAAAGGGAGGGGAAAATCACTAGTGTTATAAGAAACCATCTTAGGATGCAACTATTTCTGTGTAGGAGGTATCATGTCATTGCTTTGGAAAAGGCGTAATTAATACTTTGTGATAATGTGGAGTGTTTTAAGAGTGTATACAGAGAATATACCTAAGTTAAAGCACCGCCTGAGTATCAGCATTTTAGTAACAATATAGTGATGGCCTTTTTTTTTTTTTTTAAACAGACAAGGTCTCCAGGCCCAGTACAGTGGCTCACACCTGTAATCCTAGCACTTTGGTAGGCCCAGGTGGGCAGATCAACTGAGGTCAGGGGCTCAAGACCAGTCTGACCAACAAGTAGAAACCTCTTCTCTATTAAAAATACAGAAAATTAGCTGGGCATCGTGGTGCATGCCTGTAATCCCAGCTACTCAGGAGGCTGAAGCAGGGGAATCACTTGAACCCGGAGGCAGAGGTTGCAGTGAGCTGAGATTATACCATTGCACTCCAGCCAGGCAACAAGAGTGAAACTCTGTCTTAAAAAAAAAAAAAAAAAAGACCAGATAAGATCTCATTATATTTCCCAGGCTAGAATGCAGTGGTTAGTCACAGGCTCAGTCAGAGCACACTACAGCCTCAAAGTCCTGGCCTCAAGTGATCCTCCTTAAGTGACTACAGACATGTACCACCACACCAAGGCTCAGTGATGGCTATTTTCTATGACAGTCTAGCACAGTGAACAAGAGCAGAGGCATTGGTAGCAGAGTTTAGTGCCTAGTACTGCCTCCTAATAGCTTTGCGATCTCTGGCAAATTAAGCTTTTTAGGGTCATTGTGAGGACTGACTGAGTTGGCACATGTTAGTTACTTAGTTCTTTATAAGATGTCATGGTTAGGATCACAGACTTGGGAGACAGAATAGCAGCATAGTTTAACAGTCTCTAGCTTACATTTCCTGGCACAGTATAAGAGGTATAAAAATGTGATATTATTTATAGAATTTGAGAAATCCTAGGCTGGACACTGTGGCTCTCGCCTGTAATCCCAGCACTTTGGGAGGCTGAGGCGGGTGGATCACTTGAGGTCAGGAGTTCGAGACCAGCCTGGCCAATATGGTGAAACCCTATCTCTAAAAATATTAGCCAGGCATGGTGACATGTGCCTATAATCCCAGCTACTTGGGTGGCTGAAGCAGGAGAATTGCTTGAACCCAAGAGGTGGAGGTTGCAGTGAGCCAAGATCACGCCACTGCACTCCAGCCTGTGTGACAAAAATGAAACTCAGTCTCAAAAAAAAAAAGGCTGGGTGTGGTGGCTCACCCCTGTAATCCCAGCACTTTGGAAAGCTATGGCAGGCGGATCGCAAGGTCAGGAGATGAGACCATCCTGGCCAACATGGTGAAACCCCATCTCTACTAAAAATACAAAAATTAGCTGGGTGTTGTGGCATGTGCCAGTAGTCCCAGCTACTCTGGAGGCTGAGGCAGGAGAATTGCTTGAACTAAAGAGGTGTAGGTTGCAGTCAGCTGAGATAGCGCCACAGCACTCTAGCCTAGACAACAGAGCGAAACTCCATCTCAAAAAAAAAAAAAAATGAAAAAAAGAATTTGAAAAATCCTATTTCTGTACTTTTGTAAATTTTCCTGCATGACTTCAAAAGAGATCAATCAGAAACCATCTTTTCTAGCAAACATAATCTTAGATAATATTTCTTTTTATTTTTTTTTTAGACATAGTTTTGCTGTTGTTGCCCAGACTGGAGTGCAATGGCACGATCTAGGCTTACCGCAACCTCTGCCTCCTGGGTTCAGGCAATTCTCCTGCCTCAGCCTCCTGAGTAGCTGGGACTACAGGCGCGCACCACCATGCCCAGCTAATTTTTGTATTTTTAGTAGAGATGGGGTTTCACCATGTTGACCAGGATGGTCTCAATCTTTTGACCTTGTGATCCACCCGCCTTGGCCTCCCAAAGTGCTGGGATTATAGGCGTGAGCCACAGCACCTGGCCTAGATAACATTTCTTATACAAAGAAATAAAAATACAAAATTAAAACCAGTAAAGTATTAAACTACTATAGGCTGGATGCAGTGGCTCACACCTGTAATCCCAGCATTTTGGGAAACAGGCACAGGAGGATTGTTTGAGCCTGGAAGTTTGAGATAAGCCTAGGCAGCATAGTGAGACCCTCTTTCTCCAAAACATTTTTAAAAATCAGCCAGCTATGGTAGTGTGCACCTGTAGAACCAGCTACTTTGGGGAGAACCACTTGAACCAGGAGGTTGAGGCTGCAGTGAGCTGTGATCATGCCACTGCACTCTAGCCTGGGTAACAGAATGAGACTCTGTCTCAAAAATAAATAAATAAACCACTATAAATGAAGTCTACAGTGGGAAATATTCTGAAGTGTGCAAAGGAGCAAAAATGCAATTGTTCCTGATACATTATCCCCTTTACTTTCAAGAGTGTTTTCTGTTACCAAAAAATACATAGTAGCCTCTTTTAAAGCCATTTTGAGGCCTTTAAAAATAACACAATTTTGACCAGGAGCAATGGCTCACACCTGTAATCCCAGCACTTTGGGAGGCCAAGACAGGCAGATCACTGGAGCCCAGGAGCTTGAGACCAGCCTGAGCAACATGGTTAAAGTCCATCTCTACAAAAAATTAGCTGGGCATGGTGGTACAAGCCTGCAGTAGTCCCAGCTACTTGGGGGACTGAAGTGAGAAGATTGCTGGAGTCCTGGAGGTTGAGACTGCAATGAGCTGAAACTGAGCCACTGCACTCCAGCCTGGGCGACAGAGAGACTTTGTTTCTAAAAAACAAAACAAAACCACAACACTTTTTAAAATCTAGACCAGTGGTTTTTAACCTGGAGAGATTTTGCCCCTACCACATTTGGCAATGTGTAGAGATGTTTTTGGTTGTTATAACAACTGGGGGTTAGGAATGGGGCAAGGATGTGCATCCTACTTGTTGTATCTCATGGATAGAGACCAGGATACTGTTAAACATTCTGCAGCTTTTTTGGTGCCAGGGACTGGTTTTGTGGAAGACAGTTTTTCCATGGACGTGTGTGGGGAGAAAGGGAGATGGTTTCGGGATGATTCAAGCACATTACATTTATTTATACTTTATTTCTATTATTATTACATTATAATGTGTAATGAACTAATTATACAACTCACTATAATGTAGAATCAGTGGGAGTCCTGAGCTGCTTTTCCTGCAAGTAGATGGTCTCATCTGGGGGTGGTGGTAGACAGTGACAGATCATGAAGCATTAGAGTCTCATAAGGAGCATGCAACCTAGATCCTTTGCATGCTCAGTTCACAGGTTAATGCTCCTATGAGAATCTAATGCCACCACTGATCTGACAAGAGGCAGAGCTCAGGTGGTAATTCAAGCAATGGGAGCAACAGTAAATACAGATGAAGCTTTGCTTGCTTGCTCATCACTCATCTCCTGCTGTGCCACCCGGTTCCTAACAGGCCATGGGCCTATGGGTTGGGGATCCCAATCTCCAATGCACAGGATACCTCATTCAGCAAAGCATTATTTATTTCTAAATGTTAATAGAGCTGAGGTTGAGAAAACCCTGCTCTGAACTAAAAAGGGGTTAAGGACTTCCCCACGGTTACATTAACTTAGAAAAGGTCCTGAACTACAGACATGCAAGTAGCATCTAAGTTCAATATCCCTTAACTTAAGTAACAAACACAAAAGAGTAAAATAAGTAAATTTTTACAGACCTAGTAGTTAATAGTGCCTATTTTTCTTTATCTTGTTTAGGGTTTGTGAGGCAGGATCTGATAATCAACCTCTTGGTAATAATCAACAATCAAATTGTGAATATTTTGTTGATAGCCTTTTTGAGGAAGCTCAAAAGGTTGGTTCCAAATGCGTGTCTTCCACTGAACAAAAGAAACAGGTAAATAAATGTCCATTACTTTTTTTTTCCTTCCAGTGTTTCTCAATATATGGTACTTTTAGAGGGTCCCTAAGGTCAAATTGTTGTTTGTCTGAGATGAGGTCTTGCTCTGTCACCCAGACTGAAGTGCAGTGGCTTAGTCTTGGCCCACTGCAACCTCAACCTCCTGGGTTCAAGCAGTCCTCCTGCTTCAGCCTTCCTGGGTAGCTTGGACCTCAGACATATATCACCATGCCCAGCTAATTTTTTTTAAAATTCTTTTGTAGAGATGGGGTCTTGCTTTGTTACCCAGGCTGGTCTTGAACTCCTGGGCTCAAATAGTTCTCTTGACTTGGTCTCCCAAAGTGCTGGGATTATAAGTGCAAGGCAAACAAAAAATAAACTGTTTTCATAAGATATTATTTCCCTTTTTTACTATGTTCACAAGCTAGGCACACCTATAATCTCAGTACTTTAGGAGGCTGAGGCAGGAGGATCACTTGAGCCCAGGAGTTGAAAACCAGCCTGGGCAACAAAGCAAGACTCCATCTCTATAAATGAATAAAAAAATTAACTGGGTGTGGTGGCATGTACCTGTTTCCCAGCTTCTTGGGAGGTTGAGGCAGGAGGACTGCCTGAGCTCAGGAGGTTGTGGCTGCATTGAGCCATGACCACATCACTGCACTCCAGCCTGGGTGACAGAGTAAAACCCTGACTCAAAAAATGAGATAAGATAAAATAATATAAAAAAATAAAACAGCCGGGCGCAGTGGCTCACGCCTGTAATCCCAGCACTTTGGGAGGCTGAGGCGGGTGGATCACGAGGTCAAGAGATCGAGACCATCCTGGTCGAAATGGTGAAACCCCGTCTCTACTAAAGATACAAAAAATTAGCTGGGCATGGTGGCACGTGCCTGTAATCCCAGCTACTCGGGAGGCTGAGGCAGGAGAATTGCCTGAACCCAGGAGGCGGAGGTTGTGGTGAGCCGAGATCGCGCCATTGCACTCCAGCCTGGGTAACAAGAGCGAAACTCCGTCTCAAAAAATAAAATAAAATAAAATAAAAAATAAAACAGTTGGGTGCAGTAGCTGTAATCCCAGCACTTTGGGAGGCTGAGGCAGGCAGATCACAAGGTCAAGAAATCGACACCATCCTGGCCAAATGGTGAAACCCCATCTCTACTAAAAATACAAAAATTAGTCTGGTATGGTGGCACGTGTCTGTAGTCCCCGCTACCTACTTGGGAGGCTGAGGTAGGAGAACCTATTGAACCCAGAGGGTGGAGGTTGCAGTGAACCAAGATCACGCCATTACACTCCAGCCTAGTAGGAGAGCAAGACTCTGTCTCAAAAAACAAAAAATAAAACAAAAAACTGTATTTAGTTTTCACTGATATTGGAAAAGCAGTGGTGGGTAAAACTACAACACCTTAGCAGGAATCAAAGCAGTGGCAACAAACTGCTAGCAATTACACATTGAGCATCCTAAATCCACCAAGTCCAAAAGTCCAGAATGCTTCAAAATCTAGAATTTTTTGAGAACTGACATGATGCTCAAATGAGATGCTCACTGGGGCATTTCAGATTTCAAGTTTTTTAATTTGGAAAGCTCAACCAGCAAATATTTCAGAATCTGAAACTTCTGGTCCCAGGCATTTCACATAAGGAATATTCAACCTTTACTTTATTCTTTGCTTATACCTACAAGGGGAAAGAAAACTAATTTTAATTAAGAATGTCCTTAATGAAGCAGTAGAATGTGTAAATTTTATATCTCAAACCTTGAATACACATCTTAATATTCTGTGTGACAAAATGTGAAGTATAGATAAAGTATTTCTACAGTATACAGAAGTGTCTTAAGGAAAAGTGCAGTTATTTGAGATCAACAAACTATATAATATATACATATATATATTTTGAGACAGAGTCTTGCTCTGTCACCAGTCTGGAGTGCAATGGGGTGATCTCAACTCACTGCAGCCTCTGTCTCCCGAGTTCAAGCAATTCTCCTGCCTCAGCCTCCTGAGTAGTTGGGGCTACAGGCACACACCACCATGCCCAGCTAATTTTTGTATTTTTAGTAGAGACAGGGTTTCACCATGTTGCTCAGGTTGGTCTCTATCTCCTAACCTCGTGATCTGCCTGCCTTGGCCTCCCAAAGTGCTGGGATTACAGGCGTGAGCCACCACAGCCAGCCAACTTCTACTTTTTCATGTCATATTGCTTCTGCAAGAAAGAATGGTTTACATACGGACTATGGTTATTCCAACTTCCATATTTGGTAGATATTTTCTAATAATGAATGAAGTGAGCCTGGCACTTCAAGGAAAACATCTTATAGTAGCTGTTGAAAATGATAAAATTTTATTTAACCAACTTTTTAAGTGACAATAAGACTTAGTAAATTGCCACCATAGGCCAGGCTTGGTGTCTCACACCTGTAATCCTACCACTTTGGAAGGCCAAAGTGGGTGGATCACTTGAAGCCAGGAGTTCAAGGCCAGCCTGGACAACGTGGCAAAATCCTTTCTCTACTAAAAAATACAAAAATTAGCTGGGCTTGGTGGTGTGTATGTGTGATCTCAGCTACTCAGGAGGGTAAGGGATGAGAATCACTTGACCCTGGTAGGTGGAGGTTGAAGTGAGCCAAGATCGTGCCGCTGCACGCTAGCCCGGGCAACAGAGCAAGAAAGAAAAGAAAAAGAAAGCCATTATACCTGACAAATTTTCAAAGTATAAGGAATTTCCTAGTGAGATTAGTATCATTTTGATAAAAATAAATTTTGTTACATAATGAAATCAATGTGTCAGCCGTTGGAAGATCTGCATAATTAAGAAAATCAGTATTTTCCAAATGACCAATATATGATGTAATAAAGTGATATATGAGTATAAGAGCCAAAGTATCACATATACTAAAATATTTTAGTGTAACAAGTATATGAAAAGATGGTTGGTAAGTTTTAGATTCCACATTCAGACACTCAACTAACTTGAGATACTACTACTACTTAATAAATTTTGATTAAGTATCAAAGAAGAATATCCTGGGAAGGCTATTAAAATACTTCTTTTTCTAACTACATGTCTGTGAGACTTTGGTTTTTTAAAAAAACATTTCAATCAAAATAACATGTCACAGCAGGCTGAGAGCAGTACCAATTATGAGACCCCAGCTGATTTTTTTGACATGAGACATTAAAAGTATTTGTGAAAAATCCCTTCACTCTGATTTGCTTTTTAAGTTAATTTAAAATTTTATCAAAGTTTAAGTCATAAAAACTTAAAGTCTATTTGTTGTGAAAAGCTTATGTTGAAAAATGACTCCTTGGCCCTAGCATCTACTTTTTTTTAGTGGGGAGGAGTTGGAGTCTCACTCTGTCACTAGACTGGAGTGCAGTGGCATCATCTCAGCTCACTGCAACCTCTGCCTCCCGGGTTCAAGCGATTCTCCTGCCTCAGCCTCCCCAGTAGCTGGAACTACAGGCGCGTGCCACCATGCCCAGCTAATTTTTTGTATTTTTAGTGGAGACGGTTTTACCGTGTTAGCCAGGATGGTCTCGATCTCCTGACCTTGTGATCTGCCCACCTCGACCTCCCAAAGTGCTGGGGTTACAGGTATGAGCCACTACGTCCAGCCCACCAGTTATATTTTTTCTAAGGGATGACTGTGGTGAAACCCTTCTTCCTTCTTCAGTGGACTGGTTGTCTGCTGGGGGAGCTCTACTGCTCTTGTTCTGGAGTCTGTGATCCTGAGTATTCTCCTCTGTCCTGGTTACTCAATTCTCTACCTCCCCTAACATCCCTTCTCTCTTATATTTTAATTTTTATGAAGCCAGTTATATTAGTCCATTTATACACTGCTGATAAAGACATACCTGAGACTGGGAAGAAAAGGAGGTTTAATTTGACTTACAGTTCCACATGGCTGGGGAGGTCTCATAATCATGGCACCAGCAAGAAAAAATGAACAAGAAGCAAAAGTGGAACCTCCTGATAAACCCATCATGAGACTTATTCACTATCAACAGAATGGCATGGGAAAGACCAGCCCCCATAATTCAAGAACCTCCCCCGGGTCCTTCCCACAACAGGTGGGAATTCTGGGAGATACAATTCAGCTTGAGATTTTAGTGGGGACACCACCAAACCATATCAATAATTTTAATTTTTTTGTAGAAACTGGGTCTCACTCTGTTGCCAGGGCTGGTCTCAAACTCCTACGCTCAAGCAATCCTCTTGCCTTAGCCTCCCAAAATGCTGGGATTGTAGGAGTGAACACCCCACCTGGCCTGAATAGTGATAGAAGAAATTTTCAAAGGACTTTCAATCCTACTACATTTTGTTAACATGATGCATTTTGTTTCCTACTGTTTTGCAGGTAGATGTAAATATAAAATTATGGAAAAATGGATTCACTGTCAATGATGATTTCAGAAGTTATTCTGATGGTGCAAGTCAACAGTTTTTGAACTCCATCAAAAAGGGGTGAGTAACCAGGTGTGGTGGCTCAAGCCTGTAATCTCAAAACTTTGGCAGACTGTGGCAAGAGGATTGCTTGAGCTCAGGAGTTCAACACCAGCGTGGGTAACATAAGACCTTATGTCTACTTAAAAAAAAAATTACCCAGGCATCCCAGCTACTCAAGATTGCTTACACCTGGGAGATCGAGGCTACAGTGAGCCATGATTGTACCACTCCAGCCTGGGCAATAGCACGAGGCCCTGTCTCCATAAATAAATAAGGAGGTGGGGTGAATAATCTTTGTAATAGGAAGATATTTTAGGCATGTTTTTTGTCAAATAATTCATTTTAATGTTCACACACCCTACCCATTCACAGATATACTTTTTCTTTTGTAAATTCACATTTTTATAAGATTAATTTTCTTAAGTGAACCACAACTACAATTTTTTTTTCCTTTTTGAGATAGTCTCTCTCTGTTGCCCAGTCTGGAGTACAATGGCTCAGCCTTCCAAAGTGGTGGGATTATAAGCATGAGACAGCGTGCCCCGCCAACAACTATAATTTTGAAGAAAGTTTAGGAACTTGAATTCTTATCAACCCACATCTTACTTAAACTAATTTACTTTACTAAGTATTTTTTAATGCCACATCTTCTTTATTATTTAACATTTATATTTAAATATCTGTAGAGTCTTTTAAAATGGTCATGTTAAAAGCCTCTCTTACCCTACTCCAGCTTGGGAGGCTGTGTGATTCATAAATTAAAATTTAAAAGAAAAAACTGTAATGTTTACTGTGTGTTTATGAATTTAAGTATTATACATGCTTGATCTAGAAAATTTTTTTAAGTATTAAGAACTTGAAAATCACCTAGACGCAGTGGCTCGTGCCTGTATTCCCAGCACTTTGGGAGGCTGAAGTGGGTGGATCACCTGAGGTTAGGAGTTTAAGACCAGCCTGGCCAACATAGTGAAACCCTGTCTCTATTAAAACATACAAAAATTAGCTGGGTGTGGTAGTAGGCACCTGTAATTACAGCTACGTGGGAGGCTGAGGAAGGGAGAATTGCTTGAACCCAGGAGGTGGAGGTTGCAGTGAGTCAAGATGGTGCCACCATACTCCAGCCTAGGCAATGGAGTCCATCTTAAAAAAAAAAAAAGAACTGGAAAATCACTTATAATGTAACCACTCAGAAGTAACTACTATTAACAGTTTTGGTGAATTTCATTCTATCATTTTCTGTCCATAGATTCATATATATGATGTGTACAGTTATTTTTAAAACAATTTTAAATTCATCATATAAAATATTTGAATATATCTGAACGATATTTTATCACAACAGTGCTCCATAATTTTTATATATACTTAATTGCTCTTGGCAACATAGTGTTTTTTCTTTTTATGTATTTTTGAGTCTGGATGTTGCTCTGTCACCCAGGCTGGAGTGCAGCGGCACAGTCATAGCTCACTGCAGCTTCAAACTCCCCATCTCAAGTGGTCCTCCCACCTTGGCCTCCCAAATAGCTGGAACTATAGGATTGCACCACTATGCCCAGCTATGTTTTAAAAATATTTAGTAGCAGTGTGATCTTGCTGTGTTACCCAGGTTGGTCTCACAACTCCTGAGCTCAAGCAGTCCTTCTGCCTTGGCCTGCCAAAGTGCTGGGATGACCAGCATGAGCCACCATGCCCAGCTAAGTATTTAAAATTTTACCACTATGAAAAATATTTTGACTATTTTTTATATTTATGTAAAAAAAAAGCTTTGTTTATATATAATTAACCTTTGTTTGTATATAATTATATATAAAAACCAAAGGGATGAATAATAAAATTCATCCCTTTGAAGTATACAGTTAAGTATTTTTTAATGTTTACGGAGTTTTACAATCATCAGCACAATCTAATTTCAGGATATCATCACCTCCAAAAACCAAATATATTGCTGAAAGAAAAAAAAAAGTCAGATACTAGAAATCACTCTTCATTTTCCCCTTCACTACAGCCCTGAAATAACCATGAATCCCCTTTCTGTCTCTCTACGGATTTCTGTATCTATGTATTTGCCTGTTCTACACATGTGTAAATGGAATCATACAGTATGTGGCCTATTATATCTGATTTCTTTCCTTTAGCATAAAGTTTTCAAGTTTATCCATGTTGTAGCTTGTATCTGTTCTTCTTTTTTTTTTTAGGAGACAGAGTGTTAGGCTCTGTCACCCAGGCTGGAGTACAGTGGTGCAACCTCCACCTCCCAAGTTCAAGCAATTCTCCTGCCTTAGCCTCCTGAGTAGCTAGGATTACAGCCGTGCACCACCATGCCCAGCTAATTTTTGTATTTTTAGTAGAGATGGGCCATGTTGGACAGGTTGGTCTCAAACTCCTGACTTCGTGATCTGCCCACCTTGGCCTCCCAAAGTACTGGAATTACAGGCGTGAGCCACTACACCCAGCCCTTGTTCTTCATTCTTATTTCCATTGTACGGATATAGCACATTTTGTTTATTCATTTATCAATGATTAGTCATTTGGATCATTTCCACATTTTGGGCTATTATGCATAAGCTACTGTGAACATTTATCTACAAGTTTTTGTGTGGTCATATGTTTTCATTTCTCTCAGGTATAAAGCTAGAAGTGGAATTGTTAACTCTTATGTTAACTTCATGAAGAACTGCCCAAATGTATTCCAAAGTGGCTGTACCATTTAACATTTCTACTAGCTCTGTATGAGGGTTCCAATTTTTCCACATCCTAACACATGTTGGTTTCTTTTTCAAAATTATAGCCATTTTAGTGGTTGTGAAGGGGTATGTCATTCTGGTTTTGACTTACATTTCTCTAATGACCAGTGATGTTGAGTGTCTTTTCATGTACTTATTGGCCATTTGTACATCCTCTTTAAAGAAATGTCTGCTCAAATCCTCTGTCCAGTATGTTCTTTGCCTTTTTTTTTTTTTTTTGAGAGAGGGTCTTACTTTGTTGGCCAGGCTGGAGTGCAGTGGGATGATCTCGGCTCTCTGCAAACTCTGTCTCCCAGATTCAAGCGATTCTTGTGCCTCCACCACCCAAGTAGCTGGGATAACAGGCATGTACCACCCCACCTGGCAAATTTTTGTATTTTAGTAGAGACAGGGTTTTACCATGTTGGCCAGGTTGGTCTTGAACTCCTGACCTCGAGGGATCTACCTGCCTCGGCCTTTCAAAGTGCTGGGGTTACAGGCGTGAGCTGCTGTGCTCAGCCTGTTTGTAATTTCAGGTGGGTTATTTGCATTTTTGTTTAGTTGTAAGAATTTGTCATATTTTCTCAATGCGAATTCCTTATCAGATATATGATTTGCAAATATTTTCTCTCATTCTTTGAGCACCTTTCAACCCAAACAGAAAAAATGAAACAATTACATAGAATTGCTATGTGTATAGAGTGCTATTTATTCACTAAAATATTTTTTAGACTTTCTTATTGAAGTATGACTTATATATACAAAAGTACAGGCCAGGTAGGCCAGGTGCAGTGGCTAATGCATATAATCTTAGAACCACTTTGAAAGGCCAAGGCAGGAGCATCATTTGAGCCCAGGAATTAAACCAGCCCTGGCAACATAGTGAGATCCCATCTCTACAAAAGAAAACCTAAAAAAATCAGCTGTGGTGGCACACACCTATAGTCCTGGCTATTCAGGAAGCTAAGATGGGAGAATCACTTGAGCCCAAGAGGTTACAGCTGCAGTGAGCCATGTTGGTGCCACTGGACTCCCGCCTGGGCAACAGAGTGAGATCCTATCTCAAAAAAATAATAATAAAATGAAAAGAAAAGTACAGAAATCACAATTATATACTAAATGAATTTGGATTATTTCTGTTAGAACAAATCAACTACTTTTAAATAATTTGTTAAAATTTGTCCTTTGGCCGTGTACAGTGGCTCATACCTGTAATCCCAACACTGGGAGGCTGGGGTAGATCACTTGAGCCTAGGAGTTCAAGACCAGCCTAGGCAACATGGTGAAACCCCACCTCTACAAAATATACAGAAATTAGCTGGGCATGGTGGCCTCTATGCTACTCGAGAGTCTGAGGCAGGAGAATCACTTCAGCCCAGGAGGTCAAGGCTTGTAGTAAGCCATGATTGCACCACCGCACTCCAGCCTGGGTGACAGAGCGAGATCTCTCTTAAAAAATAATAATAAAATTGTTTAGTTAACAGAGGTATCCAATCTTTTGGCTTCCCGGGGCCACATTGGAAGAATAAGAATGGTCTTGGGGCACACATAAAATACTAAAATGCACTAATACTAATGATAGCCGATGAGCTTAAAAGAAGTTGCAAAAAAATCTCATAATGTTTTAAAAAAGTTTACAAACTTTTGTTGGACTATGTTCAAAGCCATCCTAGGCCACAGGTTGGACAAGCTTGGTGTAGTATATAGTCATCAAATATTTCATGACTTTGGTACTATTCTAGGTACTGGTATAAAACTCATGCTGGTCAGGGGGTGGTGGTTCACACCTATAATCCCAGCACTTTGGGAGGCTGAAGGAGGAAGATTGCTTGAGCCCAGGAGTTCAAGACCAGCCTGGACAAGACCCTGTCTCTACAAAAAATTTTAAAAATATAGTCAGGCACTGTGGCGTGTGCCTCTAGTCCCAGCTACTTGGGAGGTTGAGGTGGGAGGACTGCTTGAGCCCAGGAGTTCTGGGCTATAGTGCAATATGCTGATCGGGTGTCCACACTAAGTTCAGCATCAATATGGTGACCTCCCGGGAGCGGGGGAATACCAGGTTGCCTAAGGACGGGTGAACTGGCCCAGATCAGAAATGGAGCAGGTCTCCCGTGCTGATCAGTAGTGGGATCGTGGCTGTGAATAGCCACTGCACTCCAGCCTGGGCAACTCCAGCCTGAGACACCCATCTCTGAAAAAAGAAAAGAAAAAAATATTTTTTAGGTATATATTTTCACGATAAAAAGTAATAATTAAAACTCATACTGTTCATGAGCTTGTAGTCTTATATATTATATTGTTCTTGTGGGTTTTTTGTATTGTTCATATTATTTAATTACATTGTTTTGAATACATTTAGTTATTTCATTGTAGGGAATGTTATATATCTCTTATTTCTGTATGTTTCTACATATTATTCATTTTTTGCATGTACAGAATGTTTTTCAGAGAAAGAAAATACATTGGGAGCTTTATCATTTTATTTCTTTGCCTTCCAAGGGAATTACCTTCAGAATTACAGAGAATTTTTGATAAAGAAGAGGTGGATGTTAAAGTTGAAGACAAGAAAAATGAAGTATGTATGTCTACAAAGCCTGTGTTCCAGCCCTTTTCAGGACAGGGTCACAGACTAGGAAGGTAAGTATGCCTATTGTCTTGTTTTCCCTACATCAAGGTTTAACTAATTATCTATCATTATTTTACCCATGTAGACCACATGAATAGAGCTTATCATTTCTCTTATTGGAAATCAGATTTTTTTAAATGTTAATTTTTATGAGGACTCTTAAATTATAGTTACCTAAGTGTATATTAACAATGCCAGCACTACACTAAAAAATCTTGGGGGCTTTTTTTGTTTTATCCAAATCAAAAGGGCTTGGCTTATTAAGTACAGAATTCAATAGGTAAGTCCTTTCTCTCCCTTGCACCCACTACTATAGAGTACATGTGCTAGCTTTTGAATATTGTTCTTTTTTTATGATTACCACCGCCTGCAGCATTGTGTTGTATGATCTATGTATGAATTTTGAGGTAATAAAAATGAAAATTAGTGTCAGTATCAAAGCCTTTAATTATTTTCAAGTTTTACAGTTCCCATCCCATCTAACAGAAAATGCAGAGAGATTAGATACGGGAGCTCTTTGATTTTTATAAATTCTCATATTTTTAATTATCAAGATTGGTAAGGTACATACATATTTATCCACATGTACAAATATATCTGGATGCATCTTTCAGAATGATGAGGAAGTACTTTATTTAGTTTCTTTTTTATTATAACCCAAGGACTCAGCTCAGTAAAGAACTTATAATTTCTTTTAGAAATTCAACCTGGGCAGTAGATAAAGTCCATAGATCTATGAACCTTCTTTAAAATTATCCATTCTATAAAGCACTACACAAATAATGCCAGTAACAATACATGTAGCTTACAAATTACTTGGATATATATAATTTTATCAGATTCTTAGAACCATCATATAATGTGGACATAATTTATCTTTCTGTTATTATTGAAGAAACAGATATAACTTACAAAAATATTCCTAAAAGCTATACTTAGAATTTTTATAGTAATTATTTAATGCTAAAGTTTTACTGAATGGAAAAATACGTTTAATTTTGTTGTCTGGATTTCCTTAGTGCCACACCAAAAATTGTTTCTAAAGCAAAGAGTATTGAAGTTGAAAATAAAAATAATTTGTCTGCTGTTCTGCTGAACAACTTGGAACCTGTTACTAATATACAGATCTGGTTAGCCAACGGGAAAAGGATTGTCCAGAAATTTAACGTCTCTCATAGGTGAGTCTTCAATTTCAGTATTTGATTTTTTTTCACCAAGTTTAAATTTCATTTCTTCTTTTCAGTTCAGTCAACAGATTGTTTATTTATTTATTTATTCTGAGACAGAGTCTTGTTCTCTCACCCAGGCTGGAGTACAGTGGCATGATCTCGTTTCACCACAACCTCTGCCCCCTGGGTTCAAGTAGGATTCTCCTGCTTCAGTCTCCCAAGTAGCTGCAATTACAGGCATGTGCCACCATGCCTGTAATTTTTATATTTTTAGTAGAGATGGGGTTTTGCCATGTTAGCCAGTCTGGTCTCGAACAGGCTGATCAACCCACCTCAGCCTCCCAAAGTGCTGGGATTACAGATATGAGCCACCGCTCCTGGTCTTCTTAAAAGCTTTTTTTAGCTGGGTGTCGTGGCTTATGCTTATAGTCCTAGCAATTTGGGAAGCTGGGGTGGGCAGATTGCTTAAGCCCAGGAGTTCATGACCACCTTGGGCAATATGGTGAAACCCCATCTTTACAAAAAATACGAAAATTAATTGGGTGTGATGGCACACACCTGTAGCTCCAGCTACTCAGGAGGCTGAGGTGAAAGAATCACTTGAGCCCAGGAGGTTGAGGCTGCAATGAGCCATGATCTCACCACTGTACTCCAGTCTGAGTGACAGAGCAAGAACCTATCTAAAAAGGGGGAAAAAGTTTATTTTATTTGTTTTAATTAAAAGTAGAAACAGCCGGGCTCAGTGACGTGTGCCTGTAGTTCCAGCTACTCAGGAAGCTGAAGTGGGAGGATCACTTGAACCCAGGAGTTCTGGGCTGTAGTGTGATATGACAATTGGGTGTCTGCACCAAGTTTGGCATCATTATGGTGACTTCCTGGGAGTGGGGGACCACCAGGTTGCCTAAGGAGCAGGTCAAAACTCCTGTGCCACTGCACTCCAGCCTGGGAAACAGCAAGACTCAGTCTCTTAAAAATAAAACCGGGGGCCGGGGGGTAGAAACACCATATATAGCATATGTAATTTTTATTTTTATTTTTAAAAATTATTTATTTATTTATTTATTTTCAGGAAATGTGGCACAGATAAATAACAAATATATGACCAGGCATGGTGGCTCACGCCTGTAATCCCAGCAGTTTGGAAGGCTGAGGCGGGTGGATCATGAGGTCAGGAGTTTGAGACCAGCCTGGCCAAGATGATAAAACCCCATCTCTTCTAAAAAATACAAAAATGAGCTGGGCACAGTGGCTGGCGCCTGTAATCCCAGCTGTTCGGAAGGCTGAGGCAGGATAATCGCTTGAACCCAGGAGGCGGAGGTTGCAGTGAGCAGAGATCACGTCATTGCACTCCAGCCTGGGCAACAGAGCAAGACTCCATCTCAAGAAAAAAAAAAGAGAGAGAAAGAGAGAGTTAAAAGAATAAGAATAGGTCAGGCACGGTGGCTCACGCCTGCAATCCCAGCGCTTTGGGAGGCCAACGTGGGCAGATCACAAGGTCAGGAGATCGAGACCGTCCTGGCCAACATAATAAAACCCCATCACTACTAAAATAAAATAAAAAAAATTAGCCGGGGTTGGTGGCGTGTGCCTGTAGTCCCAGCTACTCAGGAGGCTGAGGCAGAGGAATCAATTGAACCCAGGAGGTGGAGGTTGCAGTGAGCCGAGATCACACCACCACACTCCAGCCTGGGTAACAGAGCAAGAATCCATCTAAAAAAAAAAAGAATAAGAATAAAATACATGTGTACCACTTACCTCAAAACATAGATTCTTACCAGTATACTTTATGTGTCTTTCTATGGTCATGTCTCTTTTTCTTCTGTGGAAGAGATAAATAACCATTGTCCTAAATTTGTGTTGATAATTTGCTGCTTTTATTTATAGTTTTACCTAGTATATACGTATTCCTAAAATATACTAAGTTGTTTTGCTTATTTTCAAATAATTACTCCAAATTTCAAACCAGCAAAATATTACAGAAAAGGCTTAAGAACAATATAAAGAACTTTTCTACCTGACCATTCAAGATAAGTGCCAGTCTGATGACCCATCACTTGAAAGACTTAAGTATAGATTATATATAAACAAGGTTCTTCTTCCCCATAACCACAATACCGCCAGTTAAATCAGGAAACTTAACCTTAATAGGCTTGCCACACCCTAATTCAAGGTTTTCCATTTTATCCGATACCATCCTTTACAGTAGTAAAAGGCCATTCAGAATCACATGTTGCACTTAGTTGCCATGTCTCAGTTTGAAATAGTTACTTGCCTTCCTTTGATTTTTATAACCTTGACTTTTTTTAAATATTACAAGCCAATTTCTTTTTGATGTTTCCTCATGATTATATTTAGGTTACTAATTTTGGCAGGGATGCGACAGAGCTAATGCTTTGTACCTCTCATTGTATTCCAACAGGTGCCATCATTTACATTTGTCCCATTATGATGATGTTAAATTTGACACTTGATTAAAGTGGTGTCTACCAGACTCCTTTAAAGTTATTCATTTTCCCTTTGTAATTAATCCATATTTTATGGGGAAGGACTTTGAAATAGGATACTTATGTTCCTCACAAAACCTCAGATTGATTGATTGGTTGATTTATGTCTGTAACTACTCATATAGATTTTATTTTATCCTATTTTATTCAGTAGTTTATGAACTCTTAACTATCATTATTTATTTTGATACTCACATTGTCTCAGGTAGTTTGTGAGACCTCCTTTAAACTGGTTCTTGTGTTATTTTGAAATGTTCCTATAATTCTTGAACATTTCCTCATTTTCAGCACAAATTATTTTTTCAAATTCATTCCATGCTTCTCCAGGAATCCCTGGCTCTTTTTAGTGGACAGTGGTATTGAGAATCCAGGATCTGGGTACTAGATATACTTATTGTTTATCAGGATACCACTACTTCCAGGCCCTCTGTGTGGAAAGAATTGTTTGTGTGCACAGACACGCACACTTTTGAAAAAGAAAACTATTTGAAAAATTGGAGGGAATACTTCCAAACTCATTCTATGAGGCCAGCATTACCCAGATACCAAAATCAACAAAGACACACCAAAAAAAAAAAACCTGTACATACACATATGTATATATATGCACTTATGTTTATATCTGTATTTATTCCTGTTCTTTTTTTTTTTTTTTTTTTTGAGACAGTCTCACTCTTTTGCCTAGGCTGGAGTGCAGTGGCACAATCTCAGCTAATTGCAACCTCTTCCTCCTGGGTTCAAGCGATTCTTGTGCCTTAGCCTTCTGAGTAGCTGAGATTATAGGCATCCGTCATCACACCTGGCTAATTTGTTTTTTGTTTGTTTATTGTTTTTTGGGTTATTTTTGAGACGGACTCTAGCTCTGTCACCCGGCTGGAGTGCAGTGGCACAATCTTGGCTCACTGCAACCTCTGCCTCTTGGGTTCAAGTGATTCCTCCTGCCTCAGCCTCCTGAGTAGCTGGGACTACAGGTGTGTGCCACCATACCCAGCTTATTTTTGTACTTTAATAGAGACAGAGTTTCACCATGTTGGCCAGGATGGTCTCAATCTCCTGACCTTGTGATCCACCTGCCTTTGCCTCCCAAAGTGCTGGGATTACAGGCATGAGCCACCGCTCACAACCTAATTTTTCTATATTTAGTAGAGAGGGTTTCACCATGTTGGCCAGGTTGGTCTTGAACTCCTGGCCTAAGTTTGATGAAGAAGTAGTTTGTGGAGAAGTATGATTTGAGGGCAAAAGGGGTATGATCTAATGGTAATAAATTAAGGGGAACTTAGCTCAGCCTGTTTGTTCAGATTCTTCTTGGTATCTCTGCATCTTCAAGGATAAAGGTGTTCTTTTCCTCTTGGTACAGGGACGATACCTCCGGAATGAAAGTTTTATGACCTACTTTAGAGGAAGGACATAATTTCTTTTATAGGCTGCTTTGAGGGGAGAAGGGCAAGGGGAAAATGAGAGTGATCTACCTGCTTCTGCTGTTTTCTCAAATGCCAAGGTGCTATATTTTAGGGTGCCATATCTTGAATCCTGTCAACCTTTTTAGCACTGTGACATGTTTCTCTTAATCTTTGGTAATGCTTTTTGTGCTAAATCTACTCTGCCTGATATTAATATGGTCATAACAGCTTCCTCCTTCTAGTTAGTATTTGCCTGGTATATCTTTCTCTTTTTTTTTTTTTTTTTTTGAGACAGAGTCTTGTTCTGTTACCAGGCTGGAGTACAGTGGTGCAATCTCAGCTCACTGCAACCTCTGCCTCCCAGGTTCAAGCGATTCTCCTGCCTCAGCCTCCTGAGTAGCTGGGATTACAGGTGCATGCTACCACACCTAGCTAATTTTTATATTTTTAGTAGAAACAGGGTTTCACCATGTTGGTCAGGCTAGTCTTGACCTCCTGACCTCGTGATCCACCCACCTTAACTTCCCAAAGTGCTGGGATTACAGGTGTGAACCACTGTGCCCAGCCTCTCCCTACTTTTAATTTCAACTTATCTCTATATATTTATCTGTCTGTATGTTGAAAACTATCTCTTACAAATAGTTATCTGAGTTTTGTTTTTAAATCTGGGCTAACAGTATTAGTCGTTTCTGGTTTTGTGGGGTTTTTTTTCCCTCCTGCTTTACTCTGCAAGGAGGTTTCTTTTGTGGTTTTGTTTTTAGCTACCATGTACCGGGGGCTTTTTATGTGTTAGGCTCTCTTGAAGGCATTTCACTTTTTTTCTGTCAAAACCATTCTAGACAGCTGAAATCACACAACTGATTATCATAATAATAGAAGAAGCACAAGTTTGAAATTGTGTCTTAGAATGTTCTTTTGTGACCTAAATTTCTTCCAAATGAAGAGAGGAGAGCAACTAAAGATGTAGAAAATGGGAAGGGGGATTTGTTATTCTGGCCCAAGCTTATTTGTTTATCATCATGGAAATAAAATAGGTTAACAATGAAACATGTAGTTTTTTTTTTTTCTTTTTTTTAGACGGAGTTTCGCTTTTGCTACCCAGGCT